GGTGCTAAAAAGAGTGTCGTAGTCTTGTTAAGAGCCTCCTGAGCTGCTGCTTCTAGCTCCCTTTCCTCCAGATTATTCTGATTTTCTACCGCTGTTGCCAACTTTCATTGCCTCCTCCAGTCACAGCATCGAACTTTTTAACTGCCGCTCGATCTCTCCTTCAACCCCCTTTCATGAAGTTCCCCTCCAATATGCTTATCTTGATAATCGCTCTACTCTACTTAAACCAGGTGCTCGAACCGCTCACGGTAGTCTGCTACTGATCCCTCCTGCACCAGAGCAAAGAATTGCTCATAGAAATCTCCTCCCCGGTCGGTTTGGAAACGTTCTATTATGCAGTTTTTGAATTCCCTCCAGTTCCTGATAGGCTCCCTCCTGTCACGCCACTGATACCATGCCAAAGCCTTTCCTTCCAGACACAATCCTGCCGCCGTCAGCTTCTCATCCTCTGTCAACCCATTGACCGCAAAGTAACGCTCCACCTTGTAGATCCAGCCATGGTCGTCTTCCCCCTCGAAAACGGGCATCTTCAATTTCCTCACCTTGGGATCTCCCTGGTATCCTCCATAGCCTCCCATTCCCCTCAGAGGAGGCGTTCCCCAATTGTCCCGATCGTCCCTCCGACAAATATAGTCAAACCCCTCTTCATACTCCCCTCTCCTCCCTTCAACATCATCACCTCGACGTTGAATACCTTCAAATTCAGCACCTCGACGATGACGTTCCTCCCTTATTCCTTCAAAATCCCCCCTTCGACGCTGAATTCTTTCGAATTCAGCACCTCGGCGATGAGATCCCTCTCTCCTCCCACCAAAATCAGCCCCCCTTCTGTCATATCCCATACTCATCTCTTCCCTCGAAAGAGGCTTTAGAGGAGGCATGTCGTTCTCTTCCTCTAGGATCTCCACCTCCGAATTTCTCCTCTCCCGCAAGGGGTTCGGATTTCCTCCCATGCCATGGCCGTCGGCGGTCTCTCTTACTTCCGATGTCACCGGATTGGTTTTCATGTCAAGCAGTTTCTTCATCATTTCCTCCATTGCGATGAACTTCCCCTCCAACCTTTCATTGTTGGAGGTGATTTGATTTTGAAGGTTGAAGAATCTTTCCTCCAAATCGGCTTTCAATTTGCCGACTTCGCCGTTCAAGACGTCAACCTTCTTTCCGGCCATCGTTCTTCTCAAGATTCACGAAGATCTTCTTCCGGAACAAGAAAAGTCCGCTGAAATCTCAGGAAATCAGCCCCCAACGGTCCCAAAAAAGAGGCTATGATACAAATTTGATAGGAAATACTTGAAATCAAGTATTTCCTATTCACCTTTACAGCAAATCTCCACGAAATACTGCTGTATGGAGCAGGAAAACAGTAAAAACAGCGGAAAAAACTGTAGAAAGCTGAGAGAAATTCGTAGGAAAAACTTGTATTTTAGTAGTAGATGCAACAGAATAGAAAAGATACAATTGATCCTCAATTCGAGAGGAGGATCGATCTCTCCCAAATCTCTAGACGCCGCTAGAGCCCAAAGAAAACCTAACTCTAAGAGATATCAAATTTCAGCCAAATTCAAGATGCCCAAACCCTAGGAAAAACATCTATTTAATGCATACAAATCAAAAGGAATTCCCTAAACAATCCCTACATTCAAATTTCTCTCTGAAAACCCCCCAAAAATCCTTCCTAAAACGCTCTGTTTGAGCGGTCGGGCCGCTCGTTCTCCGCCAGGAGGCGGAATCTCCGCCTGTTTTGCGATTTCTCCCGTGAACCGGTCCCGCCTGGACCGGTCTAACAGTCTGATAGCTATAATAATAGAATTAGATTTTTCTTAGAAGTATGCTGCTACACGTCTTGATATATCCTAGGAATTGACAAAGATGACAGAGACAAGACATATGGTACTAAACAAGGTGGATATCAAATTCAATACAAGAGTGAATACAATAAGTAGTAAGTTTCCTTTTCCCCTGTTGGAGAGCAATAGGAAGATTTAAGTCAAATATATCATTAGGTGGTGGTTGCTGAATTGAATCCTACAATGCAGTGGGAGGTGTTGTCATGGTTGGAGGATGAGGGCGATGAGAGTATGAATATAGCGGTGTAGAGGTTAAAAATGCAGATTTTGGTGGAAGAGGTACAAGGTTGAGTAAGGCTTTAGGGTCAGAGGAGGTGAAAATAAAGGGGTAGTGAAAAATGGCAGAAGTATGCATGCTTCCTGCAAATTAGCACCGATGACCTTTTTTGCTCTGTAACAAAGAAGAAAAATGGATGAGAAACATTCATGATATTCCTACAACATCAATATGGTGGTTTTTTTTTTTTTTTTTTCTTTCAGTAATACCATTTTATTGAGATGATAAGAGTAGGAAATTGTTAGGCTGGCTGAACCGGTCCAACCTGGACCGGTTCAGGTTTACTGCCGCCAGCCTAGGGGGAGGGCGGAACCAAGGGAGAGGGGGGCGGATGGCCTAGTGGGCCCAAGCCATTAATGTAATGGGTGTTTAGGAGGGAAATTTGAATTAGAGGGCTGTTTAGGGATTTTGTAGGTCTCCTTTTGCTTTAATTAGGGGCTAATGATAGAATTAGGGTTTTCATCTTGAATTTGAAAGGGATTGGAGATCTAGGTTTTGTGTTCTTGGGCTCTAGACTTGGCTAGAGAATCAGAGAGTTGTTTCTTCCTCTCGAATTGAAGAAACGTGTATCACTGTATCTTTTGCTGTTTTCCTGCATCTACTAGTGGAATCCTTCGTTTTCTACCAGTTTTCTACTGTTTTCCCCAAGAAATCTATTGTTCGTTGTTGTTTTACTTCTGTAAACAGCAGTTTTGCTCCCTGTATTCACCAATTGCGATTATGTTTGCTTGCGAACTCAAGTATTTCCCTTAAGGTTACTTGCGAACTCAAGTATTTCCTATCAGAAATCTGGAAAATAATACCATTAATAGAGCAAAAGGTGCAAAATTGAGATTACAAGAATTTTAAGGCATCATCAGTGCATATAATGCTTTGAAGAAAGCTAAAAATTAAACTTCTATCTCCTGAAAAAGATTGAAATGCATGAAGGACCTTAGACTGGCATTGAAGGACCGGGTTAGGAGTCTAAACACTTTAATGAATTAACTCATAGGGATGAGAATAAGGATCAATAGTGGAGGATAGAATGAACACATGATATTCTTTATCTACCTCTTTTGCATGACAATTGAATTTGAGTTAATTCTCATAGTTTTCTAGGAGGATGACCTAGTTGACAGTGCCAATGAGAAGAAGTAATTCTGGAAGATAGAGCGCAAGAAACATAAGTAGAAGAACAAATCTTTTTTAACAACTTTACCACTTGCCTTATTGGAGCTGAGATCTTCAAAGACAGAATAAGATTGGTAATTTCTATGCAATATTTAAAATTATGTTCTGAATATTCATTAACTGCAACCATGTAGATATGTAAATATATTGAAATTTATTAGCATGTATGTCATTCCACCTTCAATTTAACTGTTTTTTGTTATTTTTATTTCTGATAATTTGTTTGTTACCGTTACAGGTCCCCCCCTGAGGTCTGCAATATGAGCTTTTATGTATCTTGAGGGGGCTTCTATTTTAAACTGAGTGCTTCTCAGCAAATCATAACCTGTCAAAGTATCCGTTTGAAAAATTTAAACCGAGTTTCACTTTTATTTCCTGTTTCATTAGTATTTTCTGATGCTCCAAGTGAAAAAAAAAAATGGCTGATGAAGGGCTCAGAAACCTTTCTTTTGCTTATCTTAATTGTTATTGCAAGCTGGAAAAAATTACATATGGTTTGTGTGAAGATAAGAAGACAAAGTAGTTTGGTGCTATAAAATTAGATGTCTAAGGTTTTAAAATAATTTTTTAGTTTAAAAATTAAAATTTTTATACTAAAAAATTACTTTAAGAAGAAGCCCAACTTTCTTACAACTTTATGAAGCAGTTTTTTAATACAAAAATTTTTTTGAACGAGAAATTTTTGTACCGAAAAACTGTTTAGAAATCAATAAAAAAGTTGCCCCAAATGAAGTCTAAATTTTTTTTCGTGCACATCAAATTGATTCCCGATTATTGTTTTCTTTCGTTTATTTTTTTTTTCTTGATTTCTTTTCTAGCTTTTTATTGTGCCTTAGCATGTGGTAAGAATATTTTCACTAATGTATGAATTTACATCTGTGCCATTATAGTAAGTCTGATTGTCTATACTCAATTGTACCTTTTTTTTCAAATATTGTAAACTTATGGTGGTCACCATAGTGAAATTAGCAAGGTATTGTCCAAAATCCAGCTGGAATTATCAAATAAATGTGGAAAGTCTAATGCCAATTGCTAAGCCATTGCTGGTGAGATGGATAGGGATGCAGGCGGTGGAATATTTCCCTTTGAAAATATTCATTGGGTGATGTGCATAAGTCACAGGTTAACTGTTGAATGTTCTCATTCTGCTATTCCAAAAATTAGACTATTTTAATAACTAAATATTGTATTGCTTTCCTTATAAAACATTTGCAGAGGCAAAAAAAAGAAAAAAGAAAAAAAAAAAGAAGCATCGCTTGAGTTTTTCATGCAAATATTTCATTAGAGAATAATATTTTCCATAATAATATTACTAGTGTTATGAAAATTTTCCGTAAATTAAAATTTGAAATTTAATGAAGTATATATATATAGTTTAAGTTATTTAATGTTAGTGATATTTTAAATATTATAAAGTTTTTATGTTATTTATTAGGATGCAATATTAGGGTTGGTATAACAGACATATGTATTTATAATGATTTTTTATTTTTATGATATTTAATTATATGAATATAAAACTATTTAAAAAGTAATGTTGAAAATAGTACTCTTTGATGCAACACCATGAATCAACAAAGTAATTTAGAAGAAGAAATTGTTCCCCCAAAAAAAAAAAAAAATTGTTATTCAATTAAGCTTTGTATTTGAGAAGATAAACATTTGGTACGGGTATCGCAAGGCGAGGGGGCCGGTCAAAGAATATGTAGAGCCCCAAAGGTATAAATGGGGCCCATTTAAAGATAAGTTCGAAGGCCCGCCAAGGGGATGGCCCACGGTTGATGTATGCATGCGAAGCATGGCATCCATGCCATGGCGTCTTTTTTTTCCCGCGCGAACATGAAGCCATCTCTCGGGAGTAGAAAAGAGAGGGAAAAGGAAGAGAGAGGAGAGAGAGAGAGAGGGCAGAGGACTCTGAGCCGTGATCCAGGCAAATTCATTCAACGATTTCCAAAACCCTAAAAGCCCTTTCCGTTACGCCTCCCGCTGTTGCCGGTGGCTCTGGCAAGCTGCTGTCTGTGGCTCGTACGAAGCCTGCAAAGATACTAGGGTTTGGAGGATATTCTGTCAATTGTTCTACGTGTCTTCTGTTCGTTTCAGAAGATTTTGAGAAATGGTATGGTAGATCGGGTAGGGTTTATGGCAAAAACAGGCTTGAGTGGTCTAGTCCCGTGTGTTTCGGGAATGGATGACGTTAAGCCGTCAATTTCCTCTTGTTCGGATGATGGAGATGCTCTGGAGGCTCGTTTTGCAAATTTGTGCAAGGTGTGAATTTTCTTTGCTGTGATTTGTGCTTCTTTCCTCTCGTTTTGGTTCGCTTTTCGTTGCTTACGTATTGATTTTGAATTGCAGAGTGGGCTTGCGCTTGATGAGAGCACAACGAGACAGGCAATGGTCTTGTTCAGAGAAAGTAAACACATTCTGTTGGCCAACATATCTACAATTGGAAGCGGAACTGTAAGTTGATTTCTTTTTGGACTGTATAGTTTGGAATTCGTAGGGACCATTTTTGAAATAAAAATCTCATTTTTAACAATATTAGCCTGGGGAGGTCGAGAGGTATTGGTCAGCATTTGTATTGTACTGCATTACAAGATTGGGTCAAAGTAAGGGAAGGAAGGAAAGTGGGCAGCATGGAGTTTCTCTGTGTCAAATTTTGAGGGCTTCTAAGTTAAAGTAAGTTCTTCCCGTGTATTATTTTGTTGAAGGAAATGGTATATTTACATTCCATTTTTTGGGCATGATTTACACTCCAATTTATTGGTTTGTAGCATTGTTGACTTTTTCAAAGAGATGCCACAGTTCTCTCTGAAGGCTGGTTATATTCTTAGTGGTTTATATGGCTCAGATTGGGAGAAGAGGCTTGAGGTATCTGAGATTATTGCTGTATTTATGGTTTAGCAGTTCATTTGTGTCCAATGTTTAACAACAATTTGTTTTTTATACGTGTTTAGTTGAAGGAGTTGCAAGTGAATTTTGTTCATCTAAGCGCTTTAAGCAGGTAAATTTTAATATTTAATAGTATACTATTTTGTTGTTCAAGTTTTTTATTTTAACTCCTGAAAATATTTGACAGAGTATTGTTTAGACATGTATGAGCATAAGCTCTGTCCAGTGTTGATCAGGGTTGTCAAAAAGGCTTCTTATTTGTGTTTAATCATGTTTAGCTCGATAATTAGCTCAAGTTTGGTTAGTTTTAATAACTTTGTTTATTTAATGTTCCACCATATATGAACATGGCTTTATTTGATCAAGTTTAGCTAGTAGCTTGGTTATGTTTATGTATAATGCATGTGCTTGTTTGTTAAATATATGCATATAGATTATGTGCACTTGTATTCATATATTTATATATTTATATATATTAAGTAAACTTTTTGTCCTTGAAACGCTCATCTTTGACTTTATACATAGATGAGCCAAACACAAATATAAAATGTTGGCTCATTTGCTTAATGGTTCGAGTAAAAAAAACAGCTAGGCTTGTTCAAATTTGGCTTGTTTACACTTCAGTGCTGAGCTTCTATTTCCTACAATGTGCTTAGTAATCTACTTGTTATACATTGACCAGTTTATACAGTCTATATTTTCTTCTTTGCATTTTTACTCGTGCATCATTCACTTTGGAGGACATGCTTCAATAGGTTATCCTAATTGTATGCAAATGTCAAATTTCTTTTTCCTTCTGGTTCCTCTATGCAAGTCAGCTAATTCCATAGGATTACATCTTCTAGTAATCTTCTAGAAGCCTAAACAAAGTGTTTGGCACTGGTATCATAGCTCCACTATCTAATCATAGGATAAGCTACCGTAGCAAAATATTATGTGCTATTGGCTTGGATAAACATGTACAACAGATTATAGAAATTTGCTCTTAGATACAAGTAGTATGACGGATGATGAACTTTCATGAATTAGAGGCAAGAGGATACAAATGTCTTTGCTCAATGGCATACATTTGATCCAAATTGCTTTGCTCAATGGCATAAAGTTTTACTTTTGAAGGTTATCAACAGATTGTTATTACTCTAAGCTAGGGGTGTATACGAGTCGAGTTTTGGCACTATTGAGCTCAGCTCGTCAATAGGAAAGCGAGCTCGAACTCGAGCTCGACTCGCAACACTGTATCGAGCTACTCGATTTATTGCCTGCGTTAGTTTCGCGCTCGCCTATTTAAATTTTTTCGCCTGGTTTTCGCAGATTATCCCACCCGGTTTTCCTGCCAGGTTTTCCCATAGCTGCCATCTTGAAGAAGCTGAATTTTTTTTTATTTGCAAATCTCAAAGCATATCCTATGGTGAATAAAATATTCATACTTTAAGATGATTGCTGTCAGGATTTAAAACATTCCTTTTTGATAATAAGTAAAGCTGCAAGCATTTAATGATATTTATTAATATTGACATTTGAAACCTATTTTATTAACTAAAATAGACGGAAAATCGGGCAACGTTTAAAATTTGAACTAAAATTTTAAATAACTTTTAAATGTAATAAAAATATTAATAATTAAAAAAAATTCAATTAGAAATTCGAGCTGGCTCACAAGCTCACGAGCCAGCCTCATGGATCTCTCGAGCTTGTTTACTAAAAGAGCTTGAGTTTGAGCTTGAGCTCGACTCATGAGCTCGATAAGCTTGGCTCGCGAGCCCATTAACGAGCCGAGCTCAGCTCACTTACACCCCTACTCTAAGCTTATAAGTTAGCTTTGAAAGCATGTTGTGGGCTGTGTTTTGCTGCAATAATTTATGATATACCAGCTAGAATGGATGTTGGATGGTTATTGTCAATGCAGGACTTTGAACCTTATTTATCATAGATGCCTTGCTATGGAATGCGGATTTACCATAGTTTTTTCAGATATCATATTTTCATCACTTTTTTTTCTTAGTCTGCCAGAACCTTATTTTTGTTGAGGAATTCTCAAAGTATGTGAGTTATAATTGTTCTGATATACTTAAGGAACCTTATGTGCCCTTTTATGTTTCTCAAGTTTTGTGCTGAAGCTTTTTCACATGCGTTGATGCAATAATATGTTTGTTCAGAACATGCTTGTTCTAGTCATCATTAACCATGTATTCTCTCCAGGCACTACAGGCGAGCATATCAAGAACTATTTTTGCGGGGTGATTCTAGCAGCCAACCTTCTGGTTTTTCCAGTAATACAGGGTACATTTCAGATTACCACCGTTTTGGATGGTTATTATTCTTGGCTCTACGGGTGCATACATTCAGCCGTTTTAGGGATCTTGTGACCTGTACTAATGGATTAGTTTCAATATTGGTGGGTGTTTTTTTTCCCATGGGGTTCTTGATTCATTCTGGAAGTATTGTAATTCATGAAGGGATTCCTTTACTAAGCCACCATGTATTTTATGACAGGCCATACTTATTCTCCACGTTCCCATAAGATTTAGGAATTTCAATGTTACCAACTCTCGGCTATTTGGTAATTGACTTACGAAATTTCATGCTTCAATCATACACATCCTTGTTTTTGTTATATTTTGTCTTATATGTTGCCTTATGCTTCGTTTGGAACAATTTTTGTATTGCTTCCTAAAATGACTTCTTAGTATAAAATCTTCAAATTCAAGATGTTTTTTTTATTAGAAAACTGTTTTAGAAAGCAATCAAAAAGCTGTCTCAAACAAAGCCTTAGTTTTTGATAATTTCTTATATATGTAGTTCTGTTTTATTCTTTTTTTTGGTTTTTTGCGTGACATATCGCTGGCCTCACAGGGAAGAAAACTGAAAAGGGTGTTGATCTTCTTGCTTCTCTGTGCGACATTTATCATACATCAGAAGATGAGCTGAAGATAACATTGGAAAAAACTAATAAGTTAATTGTGGACATTTTAAACAAAAATCCTTGCCCAGCTTTAGAATGTAAAACACAAAACTTGGATTGCTTTAATACAGGTACATTTTTATTCATTTGATTGTTTTTTTAAGTTTTTATTGATTCCTTTTTTATTTCATTTTATTATTTTTTTTATAGGTTTTTTTGAGTTCTTTGGTGTTTTACTGCTGGTAATCTAGTTTATTGAGGGAATCTTGTATCTTATTTGCTAGTTTGTTACTTTTTTGTGTTAGATGATTTGACGTTCTTTGAGGGCCTTTTGGAGGATGATTCATTGCAATCAATTCTTCATATTTTAGAGAAGGATTATGATGATGCAATTAACACTATTGGTGAATTGGATGAACGGGTGTTTTGTAGTGATGATGACAGTGTACTTGGAACTGGAAGCTTATCTGGAGGAGCCATTAACATATCAAGTAGAAAGGTATATCTAATGATTGTGCAAATATGAATGTTTAAATCCTTCGAGTTTTTATGCATTATTTCATGCTCACCTTTGTTAATGCAGAGTAAACCGGACATGATAACTTCACCAGAAAAGACAATCAAAAGTCCTGCCTCTATTATGCAATCTCCTACATCATCTGTCAATGGCAATCTTTTGGGTAACTCTAAGATGGTATTTGACACACCTGTTAGTACAGCAATGACAACTGCAAAATGGCTTCGAAATATCATCTCTCCACTACCTTCAAAACCTGATGGAGAACTTCGCCGCTTTCTCTCTTCATGTGATAAGGATGTGACCAATGACATTATAAGGAGGGCCAACATAATATTAGGGGCTATATTTCCAGTTAGTTCATTTGGAGAAAGATGTGTTCCCGGAAATCTGCAAGGTGCAAGCCTTATGGATAGTATATGGGCTGAGCAGAGAAAACTTGAGGCTTTGAAGTTGTACTATCGTGTTTTGGAGGCGATGTGTCGAGCAGAATCACAAAAACTGAATGGCAACAATCTTACTTCACTGTTAACAAATGAGCGTTTTCATCGCTGCATGCTTGCTTGTTCTGCTGAGCTTGTTTTAGCTACTCACAAAACGGTCACAATGATGTTTCCTGCTGTCCTGGAGAGAACTGGCATTACAGCTTTTGACTTGAGTAAGGTGATAGAAAGTTTTGTTAGACATGAAGAAACTCTCCCAAGGGAGTTAAAACGACATTTGAATTCATTGGAAGAACGACTTCTTGAAAGCATGGCCTGGGAAAAAGGTTCATCGATGTACAATTCCTTAATTGTAGCAAGGCCATCCCTTTCTGCAGACATAAACCGCGTAGGACTATTAGCAGAGCCAATGTTGTCCCTGGATGCAATTTCAACATATTATAGCATTCCTAGTGGAGGCTTGCCACCTCTCCCTTTTCACAAGCGTTGTGAGAATTTTTCAGGTATTAGTTTTTCCATGGCAATATGCCATGTTTTTTTTTTTTTGGTTAATGTATATGGTAACTTTGTATTCCAGGGAAATACAAAGGTGAAAGACTCCACATATCAAATCATCATAGATGATGTTATTTTTTCTCCTTTTATTTAACATTTTACTGCATATAAGCCTCTCTCAAGTTATTACTTGATAATCAGGTATCATATCAGAGCTCATTAGATCATGTTAATTGAAACTTTCAATGTTAAGTTATATTCAGTTTCATATATTATTATTATTATTATTCATCATTAGTAGTGATTTTTTACGCTTCTCCAATATCAGCAACCTTTTCTTAACCACCTAGACTCTTAAACAACATCAATAGTCTTTCTTTGGCTTAAGTTATGCTACAACTAAATTGTATGCTTCGGTTCTTTTAACTTTTCATTTGTTCTATATTTCAATGCTTCTTACTGTCAATCCATGGAAAATTGTCTATAGATCTTTCTTTTCTAATTTAATTTTTAGAATAATCAATGAAGTTTTACTTTTAAAAGAGAATTGTTTGAAATGCAGATCTAAATGGTGATGCTCCATCTCCGAAGAAGCAATGTACTGAATATAGGAATGTTCTGGTGGAGCGCTCTTCCTTTACTTCTCCCATCAAGGACAGAACACGGGCTACCAATAGTCCCAAATCTAAATTACCACCACTTCAATCTGCTTTTGCTAGGTTAGCAATTCTTTTTCAAATCTTTTGTTAGCAGCTTTGTTCGTTTACAAATACTTAAGGAACTTCCTATTTGATTCCTCTTTGAATATAATACCTCTGTTTACAGCCCAACACGTCCCAGCCCTTCAGGAGGTGGGGAAACCTGTGCTGAGATAAGTATTAATGTGTTCTTTAGTAAGGTAAAAGTCCTTAAATGATACTTTGTAATATTTCCTTGCTTATAAAGTATGCTTGATTGTGATGTACTTGTGATCTTTATATGTGTTTTGCAGATTGTAAAGCTGAGTGCAATTAGAATCAGAAGCTTGTGTGAAAGATTGCAATTGTCACAGGAAGCACAAGAGCGTGTTTATTGTCTCATTCAACAAATTCTTAGCCAGAAAACTAGTCTTTTTTTTAATCGGCACATAGACCAGATCATACTTTGCAGTTTCTATGGAGTTGCCAAGGTAAGACTGGCTACCTTTGATTATGCATTTAATCTTGTTCAATATTGTAATAGTTCTTTCAAATTTTATTCTCTGATTAACAGATATCACATATAGACTTGACATTTAAGGAGATTATTTACAACTACAGAAAGCAGCCACAGTGTAAACCACAGGTCTTTCGTAGTGTTTTTATTAACTGGCCATCAACAAGCCGCAATGGGGTAATGTATTTATCTTTTGTTCTTTAGATTGTCCATACATATCATTCCTAAGTTGACCAAGTTTGTGCAGAAAAAAGGTCAAGAGCATGTTGATATCATTACGTTTTACAATGAGATATTTATTCCCTCTGTCAAGCCTTTGTTGGTGGAGCTAGGATCTGCTGCAGGCCATTCAAATTCTGAGAGGCCTTCTGAAGTTACTAGCAACATAGATGGTATACTCTTTTTTTTTTTTTTTTCTCTGCAACAGTTTCATGGGTTTTGCATTTTACATCAAGCTTTGTTTGCTTTATAATGATATGGTATTTATAATCTGCTTTCATGTATCAACTGAAGGCCCAATTCCAGGATCACCTCAGCTATCTCGTTTCCCAAATCTTCCTGACATGTCTCCAAAGAAAGTTTCAGCTTCTCATAATGTTTATGTTTCTCCATTACGATCATCAAAGGTTTATTTCTCATCTAATAATTTGACTTTACATGTTCTTATTGTTTTAAGATTTTTTTTATTGTGTAGAAGTTAGTTCAACTTATTTTTGTCTGTACTCAGTTTAGCATATTATCCTTGAACGTAAAAGTATAATTACATGCATGAAAACTTTCTCTGTTTCTATCTTGTGAATTCGTTATTAAGCTTTATTTCTCTTATGTAGTAATCACTTCCCTGTTGTCTTCATAAGAATTTAAGAGTACTTGCTGTCACATTTGTATATGACTGTAATTTCTTAATTTATAAAATTTTTGTGATGAGGAGTTTATCATAATCAGATTTATTAAAAAATGGTTATTATAAAAATTGTTATTTCATTTTCTTAAACAAAAATCATAATACTCATAGTAGCTTTTGACAATGAAGCCTTTCTTACAACAATTTTATAATTAATTTTATAGATAATTGCAGTCACCCTAAATGAACCTTCTTTTAATCTAATTAATTGGCAAATAAGAATATTAAATATGGCAGCATTAAGTAATATTATTAAGCTCAAAGATGATGTAAACTATGATATTGAAGAGAAAGAATGAAGTGAGATTCATTTTCCCTCCCATTCGCCTATTTCTACATAAAGAAAACAATCTAAACAGTGGGCTAAAACATATCGTGGATGCTTTTGCTAACCTCTCAAAAATCCTCTTTAATTTTTCTATGCTATAAATGATGTCATTCTTAGAATAAGTACCAAAATTTTCATGAGAACTGATGTTTATCAGATGGATGCTTTACTGTCACCAAGCTCTAAGAGCTATTACGCTTGTGTTGGTGAGAGCACTCATGCTTATCAGAGTCCTTCCAAAGATCTATCCGCCATCAATAACCGCTTGAACAGGTATGCCGAAGAAATAGCACACCTTCTGAACTATTAAGTTTTTGTTTGGGACGGCTTTATTACTGCCTCTTAAAGCAGTTTTTTACTATAAAAAATTTAATTTTTGTACTAAAAAGCTGCTTTAAGAAGCAGTAAAAAAGCAGTCCCAAACAAAGCCTAAATAATGATATAATTATGTTATATTTATTTGTTGCGCTACTTTGTAACAGCAGCAGAAAAATAAGTGGTAGGCTCAACTTTGATATGGTCAGTGACTCAGTTGTGGCCGGGAGCCTAGGCCCTCACAACAGCAATTCAGATTCTCCTTCTGCTGCCGCTGCTGCTGCTGCTGTTTTAAAGAACCCTGTAAAGTGTGAGCCACCTGATTGCTAATTCCTATTCCTCTTATATATATGTCTGTGGGCTGTCTGTTCTAAAGTTAAGGACTGTGTGGGAGCAGAATGCTTATTTATAACAAATAATATCATTCCCCTTTGACCGCCATGTTTCCTTAGACGTCAGTTTAGCGATTTGTAAAAAGATGTTCCTATAGCATAGTTATAATTATATTTTTTCTTCTTTAGAAACTGTTTCTTTTACTTGGGACGTGTAACTGCTTTGTTTATCTTAAAAGTATTAGGAAACTAGGACTGTATTAAGATTGGTTAAGCAAACTTCATTTGCGATGACTTTTTTACTGCTTCTTAAAATAAATTTTTAGTACAAAAAATTAAATTTTTGTATTTAAAAACTGCTTTAAGAAGAAATAAGAAAGCCGAGGTTTCGTTTGGGGCGACTTTCTTACTGATTCTTATAGCAGTTTTTTAGTATAAAAATTTTAATTTTTAAACTTAAAAACTGTTTTAAAGAACAATAAAAAACCGTTTGGTCCCAAACGAAGCATACATTACCGGTGAGATTACATGAGCCACCTTAATGAGAGTAGTCATCAAAGCTATAATTCTGACTATATTTATTTACTTCAAACCACCAAGAAACTTTATTGTTTCCCATTAACAAAATACACCTCTGCTGCTTGTTTTAGCATTTTACAATTAACACTACAAATCAAACCTCCCCTTTCCAACCAAGAAAAAAAAAACATCAACATAAAGCATTAATTGCACTATCTACACATTTTGTTCCTGAAGATTTGACAAGGCAGAACATTGAAGTATTTTCAGATATCTCAGGCACAGTCAATAACCTCACAGGCTTCCCAGTTAGAAGTACTGAGATGGAGTTCAGAGCTTCCCTCATCCAATCATACCGGCAAAGCTTCCATGCCTCCCATACATTAAGCTGCTTAAATGAAAAGCATCAGAGAATGTTATGAGTCATTTTCTTAAGAAAATCATACACAAAAGCATAGATTGCAAAGTTTGTTAAATGCATACCCATTTCCTATCATGGGAAGATTGCTCCGGCCAGAGCTCGAGCTCTTCGGTAACTTCGAGCGCAAATATGTAGCCTCTGCAAGCTCCTTCTTGGCCTTTGAGGTTCTGTTTACTCTTGCTTTTGAATTCCCAAACTCCCAGTAGAGTATCCTAAAGAAAGAAATACAAGATCATTAATAAAATGCACCAGGATCATGTGTTCTACTCAGATTCTAGTTCAAAGAACTCGTATTTTTTTTCCAAAAGTATTAGAGCATCAATAAATTGAAAAATCTAATCTTTAATTATGTCAACTACATCGAATGATCTCTTGAATTGGTCAAGGTTTCTCAGTTTATCGCCGCTTCTCTATTGTGTCAGTTGTTGTTTTATTGAATTTGCTTCATTAATAGGCTCGCGATTTAACTTTGATCGTTATGGGTTGGTGCCAAGATCGAGCCAAAATCAATTGATAAGGTGACCATATTAATCAACAACATAGGTTATGGAATTAGAAATTTTATTAGTCCTCTACTTGTGTTTGGCATGATTTTTTTGGTGTTGTTCTATTAAAAAAAATGATTTTGTTGCTTAAACATTAAACTATATCGGCTTGAATCTCAATTAACTTAAAACATATGGAAAGAACCTTTAGGAATTTCTTTTCAAGGCTGGAAAATTTACTGATATGCTTATAAGATCCTCATATACATATATAACCATCATTCCTTTCTCTTTCACATAAGTTGCTCCCACTTAATAGAAAAATCCAATTCATTTGGGATGGTTATAGTTTTTTTTTTTCGGGATATTTAAGTCAATTAAAATAAACTCGCACACACATTACATATGCAGGTTTTGAACCCAATACCTTTTGGTTGGTAGTCAAAGCACCCAACCAACAGATCAAGATGAGCTGCGTAGCGAAGCTTATATGTGAAAAAAAGAGACCAATATTAGCTTACATGAATAGTTCCTTGAACCCCTGCTTCCTCCAAAGCTTCGCGGCGTGCCGCTTGATCCACAGTCTCATCATTATCCCATCCACCCTGCATAGTGAGCAATTCCTCAGTCGATAATAACAGAAAATAATACTAACAACATAAGAAACATAGGGGAAGGATTGCTATACCTTTGGGAAGATAAGATCATGGCGATTTGGTGAAGTAATCATAAGAACCTCCAACTTACTCAATGAATCACCGGTCGGATTTTCTACATTTTGTTTCAGTCTATAAGGTATGCACCTAGTTCAATCACAAGAGGCCAAAGGTGAGGCAAATGTTGAAATTTCTACAGCTAATCTACATACAAATTCTAGCTTACAAGACCACACTTTTTCTTCTATCACCATACTAAGAAGATTATAAGCTACTTGAATTTCAGATTTTTCATTCTTTTGTAACCATGTTAGTTATAAATAAAGTCATGAAAAATAAATGAGCTAATTTTATTCCTCGTTGAATCCATCATTTAATTAAGGTTTCGTCTGGGACGATTTTCATTCTACTTCATAAAGTAGCTTTTTAGTACAATTTTTGTACTAAAAAGTTGTTTTATGAAGCTCAAAGAAAGCCTTCCTAGACGAAACATAAGACATCAAAATTTATTTCGAGCGACAAAACTTTTTTAAACTCCGTTAAATATTATGACTTATATTTTTACAATCGAAATGAGTCAAAATTGAAATATTGTAAAACGTATTTTATGTTTACAAACAATCAAATGAGCCCTTAGGTGATGACATATGCTACAAAAAATACCATTTAAACTACTTCATAAGGAGAACATAAGCACCCGCCAAAACCAAAAATAAAATGGCCTCATGATAGGGAGAGATTATTATGTGCGGTCTCCGGACCGTCAGGAGGCGAATCCAGACGTGCCACATTACCCGGATGCACTGGGCCCCGGGTGACATGACGCGTCTGAATTCACCTCCGAATAAATCCAGACACTGCACGTAATAATTTTCCCATGACAGGGGGACTTGGCTCTCATTGCTGAAGCAATAGCTTAAGCACATTAGCTGCTAACTTCTACCAACGGCTATTAAAGAACACCAAGAACTCATTTGATTACTTTTTTATGAAAAAACGCTTTAACAAAACGAAACCAATTCTTCTGCAGGATTTTAAAGCTGTTCACATATTCTAAAATCTATATTAATGTTTGGCAACACTAACCAAAAGCAATTAAACTCATCATTTTAAAAAAAAATCAGCCCATACCCTGCAACAAGCCGAAAGTGATTCTCATAACGCTGCAGTTCACGCCCAGTCCGAGCTTGCAGTGTAGTCGTCATGATTCAGAAGCAAAACTAAGCCTAATTTAAGAAACAAAACAAATATGAAATAGTTATTTCAACAAAGAATATACATTAAAAAAAAAAAACTAAGTAAAACCAAGAGAAAAGTACTCCATTTTACCTTGAGAAATCACTAGCTCTTCCAAACAACAACACTACAGAATCTGCTCTCTCTCTCTTCAAAATCTATTCAAATTACTTCAAAGCTGCATTCCTTCTTCGAAAACAACTAAAAAAGCTCTCAACTTTTCCACCCAAAGCTTAAATGGAAGAAGAGTAAGGACTGAAACAGGGAAGAACCCAGACTAAATTCTTTCACTCAAATTCTATTTTCTTCTTCTCACCAAGCTCACTTACCACTTCTATATAAACAAAAAATCCACAAATTAAATAATAATAAATGACAATTTTAACACTTGGACTTGAAAGAGATTGAGGGATAGTCATAGGCAGTCGAAAGCTGAGCTCTTTCATGGAAACAGAGCAGAGGAGGCAATACAACTAAAGAAAGCTACTAGAATTGGACCATATTAAATAAATATTATCGAATGGGTTGGAAACTTTGGGGATAGGAATATGAAGGAGGTATGATTTTAACATTCTTTTATATTAGTATTTTTTTTATATTACATAAATAAAAATATTCTTAATCATGCATCATTGATAATAAAAATAATATATTTTTTTTTCAATATTGTCACTGTCCAATATGCTATGTGAAGAGCTGCTATTTTTTTAAAATACATTTAAAATTAGTGAATTTATATAAATAACACTAAATTTTATTTATTTATATACCTAATATCTAAATATTTATATTTATTTTTATAACATCTAAATAACATCACATACAAATATATATTATTTTTATATTAAATTTTTTTATGTTAGATACTTATATATAATAATTACTAAGTATTTTGAATTGATTATGAAAAATATTATGTTTAGTTTCTCCATATAATACATGTTTTTATTTTTTATATTAACCCATTTTGAAATCAACTTTGAATTTTGAAGTTCAAAATTGAGAGAATTAAAAAATCGACTGACTCGGTTCAAAAATAATCAAAATTTTATCAATTTTGAATAGATAAATTTTAAGTTTAGCTGAAATTTTTTAAACTTGACTTATTTGAGTCAGTAAAATCCTTATAATTATAAATAATTTCTAAAGAGTTTGAAGGATAAGTTTTTTTTTTTTTTAATTATAAATAAAATCGTTGTATTGAAATATATTTTAAAAAGAGCTATTCGAAAAAATATATTTCTCCCTTAAACACGTGTTTTTTATTTTTATAATGACTCACTTTGAAATTATTTTTAAGCTACTTTGAAATTGAGTGAATTAGAATTATCAAATTGACTCAACTCAAAAATTAATTTAATTTGTCAAATTAAAATTAAGCATAGTTTGTTTAAATTTGTCTTATTGTTGGCTTTCTTGCCAAATAAAAAGTATACTTATTAATATTTTAAAAAAAAATGTACAAAAATAAATAAATATATCTCTCTTACAAAGAGCAGCTAATGAAGAAATAAGAGTTTATATGAGTCCAATTCACAGCTGCTTTACTTGACCATCATCAAGTTAAATAGACATATAAATTATTTTATAAGAAAGAAAAAAATTCTTTAAAATAGAACAAAGCTCAAAACAATGATTTTGAGTTAATTTAAAAATTCAAATTATCTTATAATATTAATATGTTTAGAATGCAAATACATCAATGTAAAAACTCTCATTCTTTTACAATTATTGTATTTGCAAATAAAAATAATACACTTAAATTATATTTTATAAATACCATCATAGTTAGACATTAAAAATGCTAAACGTCAAGACCTATGTTGTTTTGGGACGGTTTTTTATTGCTTCTTAAAAGCTGTTTTTTAAGTATAAAATTAATATTTTTTAAACTAGAAGCTATTAAGAAGCCAGTAGAAAGCTGCCCAACAAGCCTTAGGCCTTCGTTGCGGCTTTCTTGATGCTTCTTGAAGCAGTTTTTTAGTCAATAATTAAAAATTTGTAACTAGAAGATGTTTAAGAAGCACAAGAAAATTCATCCCCAAACAAGCGTCTAGGCTTCGATTCCGAGACCAACTTCTTACTGGATTTTAAAGTAGTTTTATAGTATGAAAAATTTCTTAATTATATTTTCTTAACTTAAAAAATGCTTAGAAAGTAAGTAAGAAACCCGTTGTCGCCAACACGATAGCCTTAGGTTTCGTTTGGGACAACTTCTTATATGAAGTTCTAAAACAGCTTTTTAGTTATAAAATTCTAATATCATTTGAAACTTTTGTACTAGAAAATTCTGGTTTAGGAAGCAGCAAAAAAACTTGTTTCAAATTGAAGCCTTAGTAAATATAAAATAATAAAAAATCTCAAAAATAGTCCCAAGACTACTTTTTATTTTATAGTCAATTTAAGTTCTAGAGTGTATCACATTATTACCTCAATTTTATACCCGATTATATAAATTGATTCGCAAATAATCCCTATATACTATAAATTTTATATTAAAATTGATCCCAATTTAGGCTGTCGATTTGGGACCAACTTTCTTGTGCTTCTAAAGTAAGCTTTAAGTATAAAAAATTTTTAATTTTGTACTAAAAAGCTGTTTTAAAAACAATAAAAAAAGCAATTCTCAACGAAGTCTTGAGTGGTTTGGTTGGGCATAATTTAGTGTCGTTCCATTCTGGAAACATGAAAAAAGATGGTCGTTGTTTTGGATACATACATTTAGAAAAACTGGTGTTTTCAAACCTCCATTATCATACCGATTTTCCAATTTTTTTATTTTTGCTTTCTTCCGTTGGTAAAAGATAGTTTGACCATCGTTTTCAACCAAAACTCTCGTCTCTTTCTGCTACAAACGAGGCCTAGTCTCAACAAGATCATTATAGATCAATTTCGCATAGTCAATGGATTACAATTAAAGCAAACTTTATACTTTGAACTAAAAAAGCCCTATACAATGGGACTATTATAATTTAACTCCTAATATAATTCTAATACAATTAAAATTATTATTACTTGCTACTGCCCTTAAAATTTCTACATACTTATTTATATAATATTCAATTATTTTGATGCATAAAAAAATATATATCAATTTTAATAAAGTATCACAGAAAATATCTATGCGTCGTCCTAAGTCATATTATCAGTGTGATTTCATTCCGATCACATCCGATTCCCAATTTGAAAAGAAAATAAATCATATATTATTTTAAGTTGCGTCGATCGAATATCGACTTGCATGTTTTAATATGCCACACATATCCAAATGAAAAAAAAAAATAAAAAAATTGGCTGAAATTTTTCGTGATAAATAGCCTTCAGTTAATATTTCTCATTAATTATAATCGGCAAATCCATATCACTTTCATTAGCCTAACTTAAATCATGGAATCATCAAGGCAGCCAAAACAATCGAGTAGCAGAATCTAATTCGGCTTTGTTTGGATTTCTTTTTTAATGCATTTAAAGCAAATTTTAATATAAAAAAATTTAAAATTTTTTGTTACTAAAATTTGATTTAAGAAGCAGTTAAAAAAACTGTACCAATGAAGTCTTCATTACACAGAATCAAAAAACCCACTTCTATCACATAATAGGCCAGATGCATTCCTTGACTTCAATCATCCAACTTGAATTCTGTTAAAATAATATATATTTTACCATCGTTTTGAATATAAACATGAGATATCTTAACAACTCGAGCACTTTTTTTAAAATAAATTGATTACCCAATATCGCAAGTCCACCGTTAGATTCCAATACAACAAGAATTACGTTTCATATTTTCAGTTTTAGATCTACTCGTACAAACCTTTAGACTCTAAAGCAGACCTATATAATTTAAGGTTTTCAACAAATCCTTTCTAGTCTTATCAATGTGAAGAAATATTATTATCAACCAAAAAACACTACACCGAAGTTCATATAACATATCCTAATGACTGTATATGCATATATTAAAAATATAAGAAAAAAAATTTCAACATTTTTAAAATTTTTTAAATAATATTTATTTTAAAAATAAAAAAAGAAAGAATATTTGATATAATTGACCTGTTTTTAAGCAAAATTTATCAATCCCACAGATTTAATTAATATATATATATATATTATATATATATATATAATATATATATAATATATAATATATATATAATTATATCTAATTAAATTAAAATAAGGAATAAAGTACTACATACAATACAAAATCTCCCACAAGCAATTACAACACGACAGATTGTCAACAATTTTTGTCTTAATAAGTGTCTAAACTGAAGAACAACAATTAAAAATATTCACATAAAGCATGCAACAATATCAAATATAGGAAAAAAAATTTATTCACTTTGGCTACTAATTTTCTTAAGCTCGCATCATTGAAATTATCTAATTCTTGTTGGCTTACGGCTTCATTTCGGAACAGCTTTATTATTGCTTTCAAAATTAGCTTTTTGAATAAATTTTTTTGAACTAAAATATTTAATTAAAAAATGCTGTAAAAAATATTAAGAAAATTGTCAAAAACTAAGCCCCAGGCTTCATCTCTTCCTTTAAAGCAGCTTTTTAGTAACTAAAATTTTAATTTTTGTACTCAAAAGTTATTTAAGAGACAATAAAAAAATCGTCCCAAAATGAAGCTTAATTATAATACTAGTGAGTAAATTTTACTTGGTAATAGATTGGTTGTCATTTGTTATGTTATCGCTAGTAAGCTTAAAGGGTAAGAAGAGGTTCAATAAGCAAAGTTTTAGTATCATTCTATTACATATTCCATGAGGAAGTTTATTTTTGTAATTAGAAATTAGCTCAGTTTGAGATGACTATAATATAAAATTTAATTAGAAAAATCATTTTCTTAAAAAAGATATATAATTTTTTTAGCTAATTTATTTAAGAAATTTGATTAAATTTTGACGAAAATATATACGTATAAAATTTTTTATATACTATTTTTTATTATAGTTTTGAAATGGTTTAAACATAAGCATAAGTTAGTGATTAATAGGTGGCTAATAAAGCTTAAATTGGCTCCTTCATTACAGCCAAAAATGGGCATCTTCCTTATTAGTCATTATTCATTACTTGTAAACAAAGTTTTTTCTATTTCTTATGCTAGACATGTAATAATCATTTTTTTAAAGAAATTTTCAATAATTAAGCTTATCTTGTCATCATGGAAAGATAGCTAATTTACTACATTTATTAGAAAATTTGAGGCTAAAATAAAAGAACCAAATTACATGGAAATTCATGAAAAAAAAACACCAATGATTTGGAGA